TGCTATTTTTCCAAATCATCTTCCCCCTTCGACCATAATATTTAATATCAGCTTAATTAAAGTTATTTTAGAATCTATTTCTTTGCAAATCAGATTTTTTTGAAATTTACTGGTATCTTTAGTATTTATATAACTTTGTTTTTTCTTTCATTTAACTTTTCTGGAATATAAAAGAACAAAAGCTAGAGAAAGGCTACTATGAATAACATATATCCTTAAAGATTAGAAGTGAATGTAAAATTGGTAGCTGCTGTAACATAGTATCCGAAAATTGGCCCAGTTGTAGACCCAAAATCATATAGAGCATTAAAAGCTCCAGAGACAGTATCTTTCACTGCTTCATGATCAAAATTCTTCCCTTTTTATTCTAATATTGCTAATTCAAGCTATTTATATGGAGTAATAATCGTCATTGATGTTGCCCCTCCATTTATCAAAAGTCCTAATACTGTGATCCAGACTTACTTTGGTAAGTGAATCATCTAATTGGGACCTATTAGCTGAGCAGCTATTCCTTAAATTACTTGAGCCATAACAATACACAAAATCATATTGAATTTCTGGGTCAGCTTCGGAGCGAAAAAGCAAGTTATCACAAAAGCAATGTTTTAAGCTACGAATACCAAACTGATCATACTTGGATTAAATCTAAATTCTTCTTCTAGATAGTATGGCAAACTTGTATCGCAAAAATTATACATTTAGCAGCACAGTAAAATATCTAAACAAGCAAAAAAACCACGAGGGGATCGCAAAAAATATAGATAGTGCACTTGATCTTTTAATTCATTTTATGAGGGTATTTCACTAAAAATATCTATAATCACCTCTGAATTATATTTTGATAATTGATACTTTGCACAATTATCAAAAACATCACTCTCATATCTTTAGGTCTCTATCTTATCAGAATTCTAGTCTTACTTAGCTAATTTATATGATGAATTCTCCTATTTTTCACCATAATCTTGACCTTCAGCAAATATTTTGCCAGAAAGTTACTTTTTGAGATTATTATATTTCAATTCTGCCATTTCTTATAATAAACTATTTCTACTACTATTTTCAAATTCATCTTTTTCAAATTTAATGTCGGGATCAAATTGAATTCCAGTTAACTTATCTTTGTTTAATAATATTCTCTAACTCTTATCTGGCTTTAATTGCTATTAAGTTTGAGGCTTGCAATTCTTTGGAACAAATTTTATCAGGTACGACTAGAATACCCCAAAAATCAGAAAAATAATTCCTAAACTAACTTAATTAAAAATTAATGTTTACCACAGAATGCAAAAGGACCTTAATAGCCTATAATGTATGACAAAAAGGAAGAGATCAATAAACCAATTACAGCCCCCCATCCTAAAAATTTGTCAATAGATAATAAGATTACCTGCACCAAACTCTAATTGTGAAACCACTTCTTCTTAATTCTCTGGGTACTATATTGATAGTTCAGAGAATGCTAAAATTTTAAATCAAATTAGAACAATACAAGCAGTTTATAAGAGGCCAGATGCAACTCCTTACAGTATTCTTGAAACAAATCCGATCGCCAAAAAGAGAGGACTACTAAAATAAAAAACAGATTAAGTACACTGAGTTAGTATAATCTAATGTAATAAATCCAGCTGCTGCGAATGCATCAAGGAATAATCCAATTCTTATCATTATTGATCTACCAAATTTTGTCTGAAGCTTCCCGACAAGCAGGGCAGTTATGAAAGAAGCAATTGTATATGAACTAAATTAGCTTGACTCAATGAAATCATTAATACATACACAAAGAGAGGAGTAAAGAGACTAGCTGAAATGTTCATCTTCTCGAATTTCTCTGGTAAGAATGGTGCTATAATTATGAAGAATCCTTCCTTTATCCCGTTAATAAAAACAAGAGAGAATACAGTCAAGTTATATTTCATTATAAATAAGTTAATTTGAAAATCAAAATATAGCCTTTTAAGTTGTTAATGAAAATTACATAATATTGCTGAATTCAGACCAGATTTTGACTCACGGGGTTTTGGGGTTTTGGGG